CACTGATCTATGTGTACACATTATTATATAAAATGTAACTGTACTTCATATTTACTAATGTCTGTTTATGTAATAATAAAATTAAACTGTATGTATACATACACACACATTATACGATACACATAAAATTCTAATATTATGTATAAATAGATATACAGAATATCTGCATGAATATTTCAGCATGTGTAATGTCTATTATTGCGAGATACAATCGTACTTCCTTGTTATAGAGGTTAAGGTCATATGTGACGAAAACACAATATTCCATATAAGAGATTGAGCCTTTAATAAAATGCACAGGGCACACATTAACAGAGAATACAAGCCTTTTATTTTAATTGATTCGAACAACACAGGCTCAGTTTGCGTACGACTATATTAGAGTGAGTAATTCTTAATTCTAACAATACAGCGCCAAAAGCAACTATATAACACACTAATAGAGCCCTCTAGACTTATTAGTCGATAAAGAAATCTACCAAACATATCGATAACTGAATCAATTACCGATGTATGACATAATAATTTTACAACATCTATGTCTAACGTGCGTATTGTTAAGTTATCTTGTCTTGTATCCAGTATCATTTGAATATCCCTCCATTGTAAATTCGCCTTCACTCACGTAATCATGCGCGCACACAGATGTTAGCGCAGAAAGAGAATAAAGAAGTTTTCGGTGGAAGACTACCACAACTCGTTCTCAATACAAGACAAGCGTTTTCTCTATCTGCCTCAATCCACAACACAGGAATAAAATAATTCCAGCGAGTACATATTAACAACATAAAAATGGTCCTTCGAGCCGGATTGTAGAGGAAAGTATCCAGCACTCAACGAGAACGAGATCGAAATATCATCTTGGCATCAAAAGGCCACGAGGCGATCGACGCCATAGCAACATTCGTAAGATCAGCGGCACTTCCTGATCGTTCGAAGCAAACAGTAAGCAGCAAGCTGAAGGCAAGTAAAACTTGCAAAAACACATCAAAACACCGAGCTCGAGCAGCGAGTCGCAGATCCGAGTCGCGCCAACGAGTTGCGTCCAGAATAAAGAGCAGGACAGCGCACGAAAAGGTCACATTAACCTTATTCGCAACAAAGGAAGGGCACAAGCCATTCGGATTGTAGCAGTAACACTAAAGATAAGTGAGCTATCCTCTATCCATTTCCAATTAAATCAAAGAATTGCTTAGATTTGAGTGAAATACGCGAGATATTGCTCATTTCAACTGTCTAGTTATTTTAGGTTAGATCATCTTAACCTCATAATTTACTAACATTTAGTTAACAATGTCAACCTTGCAGCGCAAAAGAGGTCATTTGAGGATGCGCCTCACGATGCTAAAAAACTTTTTAATAAACACGCTGCCCACGCGGTTTCCCGAAGATTATGAAACAACACAATCTATCCCTCTGTTACTTCGGATAGAAATAGAAGGTCGCATGCTCAAGACAAATAATATAATTAACGAATTTTATGAAGCTCAGGATGCCATCGAAGAGGCGGGCGAGGGCATGGACGATGTAGAGGAATTAAAAAACCGTGAGGAATTCGAAAACGAATTTTTCGCAGTTATGGCTCACGCACAAGAAATATTATCGCGCGGACAAGCTAGGGAATCTGCAAATCAAAATATTCAATCACAACATAACGTTACAGGTATGATTCCTCCATTTCAGGCTTCCATTGTCTCGTCTAAGCCTCTTGGCGTAAAACTGCCTACTATTAAGCTGCCAAAATTCAACGGTGAATTTGAATCGTGGTTGGGATTCCGTGACACCTTCAAATCTCTAATACACGATAATCACGCAATTGGAGACGTACAGAAGTTTCATTATTTAAAGGCGTCGGTAGTGGGTGAAGCAGAGGAGGTTATAGGGCTTTCTGACACAAATTACGCAATCGCATGGAACGCGCTTCGAGAAAGGTATGACAATCAAAGGCAATTAATTCACAATCACGTGAAAGCATTGTACAATATACAGCCAATCGCAAAGGAATCATCCGCAAAACTTTTAGCAATCATTGACGAAGTCACAAAGCATTTACGTGCATTAAAGATTCTAAACGAGCCCACAGAGCATTGGGATTCTTTAGTAATTTATCATATTCACACGAAACTAGATAGAAATACTTCCAATGAATGGGAGAAACACAAATTAGCCTTGAAATCCAAGCCATCGCTTACAGATTTAAATAGTTTTTTAAGAGATCGCGCTCAGATTGTAAAAAACATGGAATCGCAATCTAAATCGGATAGTAAAGATATCAAAATTGCGAAAGTCGCGACGGCCAAGTCCAAATCTTTTCACTCTCAAAAATCCGCATGCGTAATATGTAAGGGAGAGCATTACATACAAAATTGTAGCACATTTCTAGAACTTACACTGTTAGAGAGATTAAACAAGGCCAAATTAACTAAGATTTGTCTCAATTGTTTAAGAAAGGGACACGCGACTAAAGATTGTTTCTCGGGCTCCTGCAGAAAATGTAACGCCAAACATAATACGCTGCTGCACTTTGACAAAAATGAAAATAGCGATTCGAGCAAAGTTGTTAAATCTATGTGTGCGTCATCTCGTAATAATATCAATGTCATCTTAGCTACAGCTATAACAACGTCTAAAGGACCCCAGGGATCAATACAAATAAGAGCAACACTTGATTCTTGTTCCCAATCGAGTTTCATATCAAATCGCTTGTGTGACGAGCTGGGTCTAAAGAAAATTCCAGCAAATCATTACTTAGATACTTTAAATTGTAAAAGATCTATAATTAAACATACGTGCTCAGTAACTTTATCGTCCCTACGCCGCGATTTCGAGTTTCGAATAAATTGTCTAGTATTAGATGAAATCGAACAGCAAATGCCAGCTGAACCCATTGAATTGCAGCACTTAAAATTTCCAAAGCATTTACCTTTAGCAGACCCCTCATTTCATATACCTGGCAAGGTCGATCTGCTGATCGGAGGCGAGTGGTTTTGGAGACTATTATGCATAGGGCAAATTGAAATTAATAAACAAGGTTTAGTTTTACAAAAAATCAAATTAGGTTAGATAGTAGGCGGCCCAACCTTTTCTCAAGTTTCTAAGTCCATAAAATGCAATCTTAGCAATGTTAAATCGTCTAGCAATATCGACATGCAATTAAAAAAATTTTGGGAATTGGAATCAATTGACGACAAGGTACAAACAAGCCAAGAAGAAAACAGTTGCGAACAACATTTCAGTCAAACCCATAAACGGGATACGAACGGGCGTTTTATAGTATCAATCCCATTTAAAATAGATCCGAAACAACTCGGAGAATCGCGAAGCGTCGCAGTACGGCGATTAATTTCATTAGAGAAACGATTTCTTAAAGACAAATCCTTTAGGGTGAACTATTGCGCATTCATGCGGGAATATGAAGCACTCGGTCACATGACTAGTATTCAGGAAACATCGCATGATCACCCTACGTTTTACATGCCGCACCACGGTGTGCTTCGGCCGACCAGTACGTCCACCAAGTTGCGCGTGGTATTCGACGGTTCATTAAAGTCAGACAGTGGATTATCGTTGAATGACTGTCAATACGTAGGTCCGGTCGTGCAAGACGAGCTCTTCTCCATACTCATTCGTTTTAGACAATACCCGTATGTTGTATGCGCGGATATACAAAAAATGTACCGCCAGATACTTGTTTCCTCTAGCGATCGTCCATTACAGCGCATACTTTGGCGAGCAGACCCAAAAGAGGAGATAAAGGTTTGTGAATTAAACACGTTAACGTACGGTACATCGTCGGCATCTTACTTGGCCATTCGATCGCTAATGCAACTCGCAAAAGAGTGTGAACAATCCCTGCCTGACGTCGCCAGGATCATTCGTACCGATTTTTATGTAGATGATCTGTTGACTAGTTTCAATGATATTGAGGAAGCAAAAGTAGTTATTCGAAATTTGCGTGACGTGTTAACGTCAGGCTGCCTACCATTAGCAAAATGGGCTTCCAACGAATCTTCAATCATATCAGATGTCGTAGGTAAGGAGGATAAGTTATCCATAATACCGCTGGGTGAAAACAATGCGCATAAACTCTAGGACTGAATTGGCAGACAGATAAAGATCATCTCACGTTCTTGATAAACCTCTCTAAGCAGTTTAAAGTAACAAAGCGAAGCATCCTTTCGGAAACTTCACAAATATACGATCCTCTAGGTGTGTTAGCTCCTTGCAAAATTCTGGCAACAATTATTCTACAAAAATTATGGTTAGCAAAAACCGAATGGGATGAGTCCCCTCCAACAGGCATTCATTCCCAATGGCTTGAGTATCGCGGTCAGTTAGCGTGCCTAAACGATATTGCAATTCCTAGACATTCTATTTGCAGTAATCCTGTGAGAATTCAAATCCACGGATTTTCCGATGCATCAAAGGATGCTTACGGAGGATGTATTTATATAAGATCGCAAAATGCAACGAGATCATTTCATATTTCACTGCTATGCGCCAAATCGAGAGTTGCTCCCTTAAGGGGTTATACTCAGTTGGGATGTGAAAAATAAGATGATTTTCACGATTTTTTTTAGCAGTATAGACAAACATTTATTGAAATGTGCTTCATGGCATCTAATAGTATATACATTGAAGTACTTATAATAATTTTTTTGAGTCTAAATGTATAAAAATAAAGAAAATATAGCCGTTTTGCAAAAATAAATTTTTTTCAGTGACCCTTGCGGTGAGCATGATAACTCTGGAACTCATCTGAAATAAAAAAATCAAATAGATTTTGTTAATATATTCTTATGCGGACCTCGTGAACGAAGGGTTTACCGAAATTTGTGTTTTTAAAAAAATGGTGACGATTTTTCCAAAAAGTTCGATTTTTGGTGTAAAAAAAAATCAGGTTTTTGACCATAAAAATGTTAATTTTTGTGCAAATAAAAATTCCTTCGTTCACGAGGGAGCCATTGTAATTAGAAATAAACACGACAAAGATTTAAATCGATCGGTGAAATGGTTTTCGAGAAATCATGCTCACCGCAACGATACTTTTGAAAAAACAAAAAATTCCGAGATAATCGCAGTTACAGATTCAGGTTTAGTTTTTTCATGAATAACATTTTTTTTTTCGGACTTACATAGTATCATCTATTCCTGGACCATAAAGAGTCCCTTCTGCATCTGCGGTATACTCCAGGTAGCTTTTTTGGCTTTGTCTT